CCTGTACATCTGGAGATCAGATAAACAGACAGACAAGCCAAATTTATATATAGATTCGGATTTGGCTTGATTCTTAGGGTGTATGTTTGGCTGTTTAAATAAAGTCAAAACTTTTTTGTGGTATCTTACAAAATCCAAATAGATTATCAAGTAAGTAGGTGGCAACAGAGATATGGACAATTTATACATGACGTCATAAGTGCCAAATATAACAAGGAAGACAACATTTTCTCCCATTAGTTGACGTGTCGACTAGATAATTTTTTTAAAAAACCATTAATGTTAACAGTAAAATCCGCAACATTTTTAGTTTTGAAATAAAACTTGATATGCAACATAAAAAACTGAAAATTGGTATTGATATATAATATAATTATATATCATCGTTCTAATATAAATATATGTAGTAAATACCCTACTCCATAACTATCTATTCTCTTGACTATCAATGTAAACACATGGCTACAATCCCGTAAACAATCAATGTCTCAACTATGATGCGATCCACACGGCTACAATCCCGTGAACTATCAATGCCTCAAATAGGACACGATCCACACCACTATCACATGGCACAATCTCATTAGCTATCAATGTCAACAAGGACACTAGCAATTTATCAATCAAATTATTTAGCCTATGTGTGTCCTTAACAAATTTCAGCCCATTCGGTCCAGTCGTTTGGCCGGCTATAGAGAACATATATACGAATGTCTTGTTTTAATATATATATATACATATATATACTTTGCTGACGTAGAAAAATTTATTTATATAAATAAAGCTGTTAGCCATGCTTATAATATATATATATATATATATATTTCTACGTCAGTAAAATATATATATTGAAAGTATCATCATGCTTAGTCTAATTCATACATTTATCATATTTAATCGTTTGAAAACTATTTAATAAACTATTTCTCACTCATCATTACAATCACAGTCTACAGTTTGTCTTAAGATATGATTTCCTGTTTATGTACACTAAACTGTGTCACTCAAAATAATACCTGTACAGTGTGTTTTAAGTTATAATATCCTGTATCTGTGTACAATGCTTTTTTTAATGTAATATATTCTGTGTGTGTACGGTGTGTTTTAAGTTATAATATCCTGTGTCTGCGTACTGTGTTTTTTAAAATGTAATATCCTGTAATTGTTTTAAGTTATAATATCCTGTGTGTGTACAGTGTGTTTCAAAATATAATATCCTGTGTCTGTACAGTGTGTTTCAAAATATAATATCCTGTGTCTGTACAGTGTGTTTTAAAATGTAATATCCTGTGTCTGTACAGTGTGTTTTAAAATATAATATCCTGTGTCTGTACAGAGTGATTTAAAATATACTATCCGTGTCTGTACAGTGTGTTTTAAAATGTAATATCCTGTGTCTGTACAGTGTGTTTTAAAATATAATATCCGTGTCTGTACAGAGTGATTTAAAATGTAATATCCTGTGTCTGTACAGTGTGTTTTAAAATGAGATTTCCTTGTGTCTCTACCCTGTAATGTACCCTGTGTACCCTCTCCCATTAAGGTATCCTATTCAGTATGTTTCCTTCAATATTTTCTTCTTTATATGAAGCAATGGAGAAACTCACAGAAATAAACACTTTTTAAGTTAGAAAAACAACTATATCTTTCACATTTTTTATCAGATAATAGTTTCAAGGGTACCGTTGTAAATCGGGCATCGTCACCTTAGCATGGAGGGTCACTTGCGTTTACAGTACTTTAATCTTGAACACTTGATCTTGAACACTTGTTCTTGAACACTTGATCTTTATATTCAATTTTAAGTTTGAAGATCAATTCTTGATCACTTGTACCTGTAGGGTATTATTTCCAAGGAATATCAAAAGAGGAATTAAATTAATCCAAAGATCTGCTTAAAACAGAGACCAAATGCTTTATTTAAATAAGTTTATATAAAGGGATACTTAGTCCCATGTTTCTAGTTCTATAAACTCTAGGAGGGGACTTGATGCTATCTTATATATGGGACACTTAGTCCCATGTTTCTAGTTCTATATACTCTAGGAGGGGACTTGATGCTATCAGCTGAATGTAGTGTATGTGGAAGCCCTGCAGCTCTTCATCTTCATTATGGAGCAGTTTCTTGTTACAGCTGCAGAGCTTTCTTTAGGAGGGGACCCCCTAGACAAATCAGGTAGATATTAATATACAGGCGCACCTTCAAAGATTGTGCGGAATTTTTTTCTTCCGTTTTCTTGCATTTAGGGTTCCTTGTAGACCAAAACTGGCTTATTTCTGTGCTAAATTTTTTAGTAAAACATAAAAATACTGAATTGAATGCAGAAACCAAAAGTTAAGCTTCAAATCGTCAAATTTTAAAGTTTTATGTCGTCTTTACAGTCTCATATTTTGTTGGTAACCCTGTACATCTGGAGATCAGAGGGCAAAAATAATTAATAGTGAGACTTAGTTAAACTAGGTTATACAAATTGGTGATCCACTATAACTCTGAAGTGAACCAAGAGACGTAATTCAAATACTTCTGCGCTCTGGATGTTTTGTAGACAACATTAGTCCAGGTATCCCGTGGTTAAGTCAAATTTTTAATTTCCCGGGTAAATGCCTTTAAAACTACTGTACAGGTAAATTATGGGAATTTTACTTTACCCAGGGTTCCCAAGCCCAATTTTGCTTACAAAGCATTCAGAGCACAACGTAAATTAGCGTCCCAATGTTAGAGGACTCCTGAGGTCGGAAATGTTGGTATAAAGTCGGTAAAATATATACTCCATGTTTCAGGTGCATATTCGGACATAACAGGTGCAAAATAACTCGGTTCAACCGAACCAATTGTAAACAATGCAGATACACCAAATGCATCGAGGTCGGGATGCTACCGGAGAAGGTTGATGCAACTGTCAACAAGAAGAGAGAGAGAGAAGCACGCTTGCAATCATCTAGCCAGGTCTGTACAATCTTTATGTATCTGGTTTTATCCCTGAGTAGGTAAATTGGGAACTCCGGGTGCAAAGGGAGAAAGCGTTCGACAAACATCAAAGACCTGTTGAAGTATTTTAATTAGCTATTAGGGAAAAATAGATCAAAAAAAGATTAAAGGAAGCGGTTTTGCCACAAACTCAAATGTTCTAATCTTCATATCTTTGCGATCTGATGAGATAAACCTGTAATTTTTAAAAATTTGATTTTTTATACAAACATTATTCATATTTTAAAATATGTAAGGTCTACGACATTGGGTTGCAAAGATATTGGGAATTAAAAAATTGAGTTTGTGGCAAAAATTTCTTCACGGAATAAAGGTTAGATCTGGGGTTTAATCTGTATTCGAAATCCAAGTCAGAATTTAAAAAAAAAATTTTTTTAAATGTATCATTTTTTTGTGGTTTCAGGCCCAAGGACTTGTCTCTGCCACCACCTCTGTTAATCACTGGAACCAGCCCCCTGAGAAGAATCAGCAACCAGAAAAGAAATCGAACCCAAGTGAACAGACATCTTGGTTGACTCCTGGTACAGATGTGCGTCGGTTGAGTCTAAACGGGGGAGCGGAGAAGAAGAATAAGGAAACCTGGAGGAAATCCTGGTCCAGTTCCTCCACAGTATCGTCATCATCATCTTCATCATTGAGAACTAGTTCTGCGTCTAGCAACTCTGGACGGGGTTCTATCCGGGTTAAGGATAAGCAGTTTATGCTCAAGGAAGAGTTCCTAACACAACCAAATCCAAGAGAGATGTATCATAAACATTTTCATGATATTGCCAGAATGCAGAACCTTGTCAGAAATAGATTCTCTTCCTCAGAGTCGGAACAGTCTAGGATGTATAGACTTGGAGCTAAACCCCAGAGCGCAACCTCGAGCTCTTCTTTTCTCAACCTTCAACCCTGGTTTCCGAACCGGGGATTCATGGATAGAACTTCTCCAGGTAGGTTAGAAGATCAACCCGTCCGTGAACCTGGAGCTGCAAATATTTATTACAAAAATCCATACATTGATTACAATCCGTCTCCCCTTGCTCATGATTGGACGGAATTAAGACGTCCAATAGTTCATCTGTCGGAAACCAGAATTCGTCCCGCGGTCTCAACCCACCCCCAGGGACAGTTTCAAGAGGATATGTTTGAGAACTATTCCCGAATCATGGAGGTTCCTGATTATCAGACAGTACTGGAACCTGATACAGAACCTGTTCATGGTATTAACCGATTATCCTCTGAAGGCCCATCTTCTCCGTTAATAGAACCGGAGCAGTCTAGAAGATTCTATGATATTGAAGAACGTGCGAATCCGCGTGTTCAACCCCAAGTAGTTCCTGAATTTAGTCGAAACTTTACCGTAATCCAGGGACCTCAGTCGAGAAGTTTAAAATCGGAAAAAAATGTTTCAGATTTAATATCAGGCGTTTTTGATGTAAATCCTCGTCCTAATCCTAGGGTTGTCCTGCATGAATCTCTGACTAGACCTTGGATTGAAGTACCGGAGAAGGGTTCGCCGGAACAGATTGAAGAGAGAGAAGAGACTGTTGTTTCCAAACCACAGATAGAAAACGTTCTACTCAACCAGCTGATTGACCTTGAATGTCCAAACAAGAGAAAGTTGACGGAGGAGAATGATGAGTTTCCAGCGGAACCTCGAGCTGAACCAACAGGTTCTGGGTCTCCGATACCTCTGAAGAAGCGTGCAAGGATGTATCAGCTCGTGTATCCAATAGGACACGGAATCAATAAGACTGCAATGCCCATTCTAACCTTTACCTTTGAAGAAGAATTTATGCTGGTGGACTATGTTGTACGAATTGAAGAATATCAAAATCGTAGATTCGACTTTCTGATGACTAATTTTAGAAACTACAATAAACTACTTGCCTCGTATGTAACTTACACTCACCTAGGACGAAAAGTCCCCTACAGCAAAGGGATAGAGAAAACCTTGTTTAAACTAGGACTGGAGTTTACTAAATCCAACTGCCACAAGATCTTCAATGAAATGAGCTCCCTGGGGTCGGAGGTTCGGAGCACGGTGTTAAACTCGACCTACCCTGCTCTATACATCGTATTCTTCTCCATACTAGAGGGAAATACTAGAGAAGCCACATGGTTTCATCAACATAAGAAAACTCTTCATATTACGGAAAACAATCATGAAATGATTTTGCATCAACTGGGTCAATTCATAAATGGCCGAAGCATAAGTCTGAAGGTGAGCTCGGTGAGCACTTAAATTGATTCTTCCCCTTTTTTAAATTTTACATTTAAATTTTACCTATTAAGTGTTGCTCTGAAATTCGCCATTTTTAATCGTTCACAAATTTTCGCGAATAAAAAATTAAAATTGGCGCATTTTCAAAAATTATAAATGAATACTTTTTTGGGGCAAAACTCAAGTGTTTACATCTTTCATTCTGAAAACAATATATATATTTTTCGGTACAAATATTCATTTCCCCCACTACAATTTCGGGTTTCACCAATTTTGTTTAAAAATCATATTGGCCTCATTACCAACATTTTTTGATCTAAAACAATTCAAAGAAATTTCACTTCCCATAGTTTGTGGTTTTGAGATAAAAATATTGGCAATGTTTTTAGCGGAGAAGATTATACATTTAAATAATGTTTCTGAATATTTATGAAAAATAATGTTTTAAAGACTTTTTACCAGGACCAGGAGAGGTTTACGTCTCCTTGGGCTCGGGATCTAGGGGATGAAGATAGATTTGAACGTGTGATCTCTATCCTGGGACGGATACTAAGGGATGACAAGAAACTCCAAGCTCTCTACCATATGCTGGTCATGATGACTCCGTCTGTTAAAACCTCTCTACATATTCAGGTTGGCTTTTATTTGAAAATGTTTTGTCGCAAAATAATTGTTAATTTTGTTTATCATAAAATTTCAATATGTCCTGATATAAAACCTCTCAACTCCTAAATCCTGTAATTAATGTTGGCATGTTCTACCCATTTCCTATAGTTTTATTCGATTCTTTTCAAGTTTAAATCTATTTTATTTCTAAGTTTTATGCCATTCTATCAAAGTTTTATGAAATTCTACCAAAGTTGTATTCTATTTTATCAATGTCTTATCTAGTTCTCGCAAGGTTTTATCTAGTTCTACCAAAGTTGTATTCTATTTTATCAAAGTCTTATCTAGTTCTCGCAAGGTTTTATCTAGTTATATCAAAGTTTCATGAGATTCTATCAATGGTTTTTAAGATAATCTCCATTTAAACATGGACAACCGTACCCTTCAAGCAGAAAATTAGTAATTTTTGATTGGGGGGTTTTCTGTGACTCGCGGGTTTAAGGACTGAAGAGACAGAAGTAAATTTTCATTTAAAACAGCCGGATATAACTTCTTTAATGTCGCTTAAAGTACGCAAGCTATTGTTGTAAATCCAGCAACTCTTGAATTGGAGAAACACTTAAAATTACACTGGCAATCCCTTTGAATGAGCCAACAGCCTAGGATGTCTGGAACCCAGTTTCATTTTTAACATTTTCTTTGGTTTCACGTTTATCTCAAAATACTGCCAATTGGGTTTTTAAACCTGGTTTTGACTATTTTTTGACTAACCCCGATTGTAAAAACTGAGTGATGCATATCAAGTTTCATTACTCATGTGGATTTAAATCATGAAAGTTAGTAGAAAACAGTATGAATTTTACTCAACCAATAAACTGGGTTTTATAGAGGTTTGATATCTTAAGTTTCCGGCACAGGGACAGGTTGTATTTTCTGTTCTGATTTTTACATTATTTAGAACATTTGTTTATCAAATTTAAACTGAATTTGATAAGGTATTATGCGTCAGCTTTTCAGCTAGCAAGATTTTTTAATGGAATTTAGATAAAAATATTCAATTATAAATATACTTTATTTTTGTAATATGTAAAGCTCTTCGCTCATATAAATATGTTTAGTTAGTATTTTATAAAGTAGTAATATCTGTTTGTCTGTCTGTATGAACACCTTGACTACGCGGGGATCTGAAGTTTGGAAGCTCACAGGCAAAAATCGATGAGAACTTTATAAATTTTTATAAACGAAAGCTAAAACCGAATGTCTTCAGTAAATGTAAATGTCCTGGGCTACATGCTAATATCAACCCAGGCTTGAAATTTGATGCAGTTTTTCATATCATTGTGAATTCTTGTGCAGAAATTGATTCGGAAATTGAAATTTTGATTCGGGAGCTGCCTATAAGACTACTTTCTAAGCTTAGGGTTCGACTTTTATAGGGAAAATTTAGTTTACCAGGCAAACCTTGGTTCGCAAGCTAGGATATATATATTAATATACATGAATTTACAGTATAAATACAGTTATAGTTTAGTTTACCAGGCAAACCTTGGTTCGCAAGCTAGGATATGTTTGTTAATATACATGAATTTACAGTATAAATACAGTTATAGTTTATAACCTTTCCATTTACGTATATTTATCTATTGTATATTGCACTGCACTCATCCGAGCCATTACAACATGAGCTGTTACTGTATATGCATTTAGTCGTGTTGTCTAGTCTGGACTACCCAATTGTTCAACAAATATAGCCCGACAAGATCACAGCCTGACAAGATCACAGTGATATACTAATACAGCATATTGTAATGAGTTAAACCATGTTTATTGACTGAAGAAGAGATAATCCGAAACATTTTGTATTAGATAAATCAGAAATAAACTGAGACTACTCTGGTTATACTATTATTGTATACATAGTTATATTTTTTATACTAGCCTAGGAACTCAGTGTTGCCCAGGCTACTCATAGTTACCTCCGCCGTTTACCCGCACTTAGTCGAACCACTCAACTTAGAAGCTCAAAACCAAGCTAAGAACATTACCATGGGTCTTCCGAGTTCCCCAATCAAAATTTGAAACAAATCGTTTCTAAGTTATGATCGGACAAACAAACAACAATTAGACAAACAGAGATTACAACCTTTATGAATATAGATACATTACATTTAGGCTAGGATTTGACGCTTGTTTATAGTGTCCAAAAAGAATTGGTTAATTTCTATGACTCAGAAAGGTTTAACAGTTTTTAAAACCACAATTGTTTCAGACCAATCCTGATCTGCAGAGGATACAGATTCGACTGGTTCAGCTTATCTACAGATATCTCTCAACTACAGCTCAAGATTCATCAAACCTTGATCAGGAGATCTGTCTCAAGGTATTAACTAAACCTAATGGCTGAGCTAATTTTTTTCAGGACTTTTGAATGTATTCTTTTAAAAGCTGAATCACGATGATTACATGACTAGATTAGTCTATTGGTATAAAGTTACATATCAGCGCTCCTTAGATTCAAGTTTCATTAAAATCGAATTTTGTTCTTTGTATACTTGCTCACCTTCCTTGGCGTTGACAGCTGCCATGACACCTTGTTTACCCCCAGCCTTTTTAACTTATTCTGAAAGAACTTCTTGATGAGAGGCATTCCTGAACCTTGGATGGGACTTTGACAGTATCCATTTTCTTTGAAATCATATTATATTCAACAATAGAGTGGAAGGTCTTTTTCCTTTATATCAGAGATCACAGGTCATGAATTCTCTCTTGAAGACTGTCCTACATCTCCTTCATTTTCTTGGTGGCATTCTATGGGCTTTGTAGCGACATTTTCAGTATTAAATCCATTCCGAAACAGTAACAGGAATACTGGCAAATACAAATATAACTATTTGGCGGATTTTCTATCATCTATAAGACAATTTTAAAAAGTCCTGCAAATTTTATGCTCACTGTGTAGATCAGTCTCAAGGTACTAACCAGACCTTTATCAGTCTTAAGGTACTAAGTAGACCTAGATCAGTCTCAAGGTACTTAGTAGACCTTTATCAGTCTTAAGGTACTAAGTAGACCTAGATCAGTCTCAAGGTACTTAGTAGACCTAGATCAGTCTGAAGGTACTAAGTAGACCTAGATCAGTCTGAAGGTACTAAGTAGACCTAGATCAGTCTCAAGGTACTAAGTAGACCTAGATCAGTCTCAAGGTACTAAGTAGACCTAGATCAGTCTCAAGGTACTGTGTCCTCTTTTCAATATAAAGTTTAGTGGGTCAATCTGTATATTCTTTACCATTTTTAATATTTAGACAGAGGAGCAATAAAATATTGTTTACTAAGAATTAAATTTAAAACCTAGTCTTATCATTGGCAAGTTTTATATCCGGCAAGATGAGATTTGAAAGAAATTATTCATGGCTCGTCATTTGGTGTTAAATGAGAGGCTGCTACCCATAGGAAGTTAAGTGCGCTTGCCGCGCTGAATTATAAGAAAGAGTGAGTTTAGTATATATCTTAAGGTTAGGTTAAAACACTTTCTAGTCCAAGCACTGAAGCTAGGGGGCCGAGCGCCGCGGCTAGCTGGCTCTCTGTCTAATTAACTCCTTGGGTTTCTGCATAAAAAAGGGGAAAAAGTTCCAATCCGGTTTTAAGAAACTAGTTTCACTTCAAACTTAAAAACTGTGAGCCAAAGGAATTGAGCCCCTGCCTCAAACTCTGATTGATGTTTTTAATCCCTATATTTGCAACCCAATGTCGTAGACTTTAGACTTGTCAAACCATGAACTCTGGAAGATCAAATAATCTAAGTTTGCAATATCAAAGGTTCATACCGCCAGGTTGCCAAGATATAGGATTAGAATATTTGAGTTAATGGCAAAGGTTCAATTCTTTTTAGAATATTTTGTCCCTGCCGTTCGGTAAATATACAAATGTACGTACTCTCTACAGTACAGTGCCTGAAATTGTACGAACTGTTCTTGAAACCCTATTTGGTAAAAAATTAACAAGCTTTATTTTTATAATAAGTATTTTAAACGTATTTTTCAGTTAACGATATAAGTCATTAAAATTGAAGCTTTTCTCTTTTAACATTTGTGAATACAGATAAAAAACTTATTATTCTAGTCCTGGATACCAGGATACAAGCTGATCCTAGTCCTGGATACCAGGATACAAGTTAATCCTAGTCCTGGATACCAGGATACAAGCTGATTCTAGTCCCAGATACCAGGATACAAGCTGATCCTAGTCCTGGATACCAGGATACAAGCTGATCCTAGTCCTGGATACCAGGATACAAGCTAATCCTAGTCCTGGATACCAGGATACAAGCTGATCCTAGTCCTGGATACCAGGATACAAGCTAATCCTAGTCCCGGATACCAGAATACAAGCTTATCCTAGTCCTGGATACCAGGATACAAGCTGATTCTAGTCCTGGATACCAGGATACAAGCTGATCCTAGTCCTGGATACCAGGATACAAGTTAATCATAGTCCCAGATACCAGGATACAAGCTGATTACCAGGATACAGCTGATCCTAGTCCTGGATACCAGGATACAAGTTAATTCTAGTCCTGGATACCAGGATACAAGCTGATCCTAGTCCTGGATACCAGGATACAAGTTAATCATAGTCCCAGATACCAGGATACAAGCTGATTACCAGGATACAAGCTGATCCTAGTCCTGGATACCAGGATACAAGTTAATCCTAGTCCTGGATACCAGGATACAAGCTGATCCTAGTCCTGGATACCAGGATACAAGATAATCCTAGTCCCGGATACGAGAATACAAGCTTATCCTAGTCCTGGATACCAGGATACAAGCTGATTCTAGTCCTGGATACCAGGATACAAGCTCATTCTAGTCCTGGATACCAGGATTCAAGCTGATCCTAGTCCTGGATACCGGGATACAAGCTTATCCTAGTCCTGGATATCTTTATGTTTCTTAATGAGGTGTTTGTTAACTGGTTATTTTTAATATACAATATTCATGAAGCATTTTAGCAACATAGTTTCGATTAAAAATAAGAAAGGCATGGACGTTGTACACTGTACATCATCGTTCATATTATTTCGTACGAAATCAATCCAACTTGTAAATTACTATTTATTTCATCAAAAAGTTCAACAATGTTCGGGGGTTCAAACTTATTTAATCAACCCCAGCTGTCAGTGTTTGTCTGTTTCTGTATCTCGAATTGAATACTTTCTCTGCTCAAACTGATATTACATAATTTCCAAATTTTCACTCTAGTTCCAAATTAAAATTTAATTCAATTCTTTTTTTTATGAAAATCCGTTCTTCAACGGTGTAAAAACAAGATTGATAAGTAACAGATTATTTTTTCACGACCTTTTCGCGTCTTAGCTTACACGCGGTGAATTTTAATCTAAAACAAATAAAACTTTGAATGAGTAAAATGATAATAAAAATGAAATAAAAATAAAAAATAAAAATATAATACTAAAAAAACGCAATAGTGAAGGAAGGAAAAAGTATGTGGAGAGTCGAGACCTAAATGTGATAATTTATAAATGTTAATTCTTGTAATTACAAATTTTCTGCTCCCGTCCTAAGTGTAATTATTGTAATTATATTTACTCCCGTCCTAAGTGTAATTATTGTAATTATATTTACTCCCGTCCTAAATGTAATTATTGTAATTATATTTGTTCACGTCCGAAATGTAATTATTGTAATTATATTTACTCTCGTCTTAAGTGTAATTATTGTAATTATATTTGCTGCCGTCCGAATTGTAATTATTGTAATTTAAAATATAATTACTATGATGTTTATCTGAAAATTGACGTTGACAAATCAAACATTCAAATACAGAGCTTCTCTCTCTGAATATACGGTTTGAAGATTAATTTCGGCGTGAAGAATTTTTTTCAACAGGACTTTTTTAGTGCCAAAGCTAAGTACTTTATTTCCGAAATTTTTTTGTCGTATAACTTTTTTGGCGGTTACCGCCTGATTCACCGCCATGTTTACAATTTAGAAATCTGATCATTTTCCATTATGGTTTCTACTGGAAGAATTATCAGAATATCAGAATAAGAATTATTAGAATTAAACACTTTTAAACCTAGTATAGCGACCATATCTTCCACACCAATGTATAGGTAAAGCCCATAGAGTATGAAATAGAAGGGAGATATAACTGACGCGGCCCGCGCACCATGATTATACATGTTTTGCAGACGGTACCTCATTTTAATAAGAAATATTTGTCTGATGTACAATTACCGCGTATACAATAACCTATTCTGAATATTTCTTATACAAATGGAGTACCCGTCTGCAAAGCAAAATCATAAGAGAATGTTGTACTCAGAATACACCAAATTCCGAAATATACAATAAACTCAGAGATAAGAGAGTTACAGAGATCGATTAACACCTATAATATGCGATATTTTCTTGTGTACAAGTACTGTACACGACCAATCAGGAGACATCTGTATTCAGGGATATTTAAGGATCCTTTGAATATGAAATGCAAAATCTTTAAAAATAGACAATATTCATAAACATTATGTTTTATGTTTAAACTTGGAGTATTTCTTTAAAAGTTGGAAAACTTAATCCCTGTTGCAACAAATGGCCGTGGAATGTCAGTCAAAAAACATTACATGGAACCGTAGCATGGCGTGCTGGGACACTATAGGCCTGCTCAGCCTGCCTATCCAGGCAGAGTGTATGAACAGTCTGAGGATAAACTCTTTTCGGTGGCTGTATAACAGACTGCCAAACCAGTTTTTAGCCACCGAATCCGAGTTCATAGTGTATTACGAAATATATTCGAGTACAGTTCGTACAGTAAATAAATTCTCCAGGCCTACCGTTGTTCAACGTAATTAATCAGATAAAGGTTTTGATAAATAATACAGGGATACATGTTCCAAGAGTACTGTTGTGAATCTGGCACTGCCATCTTTGCTTGAAGGGTCAATTGAAATTAATCTTGAAATCTCTTTAGCGTCGAAATTACCCTTCAGATCGTCTTTTAAAAATCATTTCTTCATAGAACATAATCTTGCAATTCTGATTAAATGCTGCAGGAGGATAGCAAGATTATATGTTCAGGAAACCCTAAAGCTGTGGCAGCAAGACTTAAAGGGACAGTTTCGTCCAAATTTCAAGTGGCCTATAATTTAAAAGAGGGACAAACCAGATTCACAAACTTTTTCAGTCAAAAAGTTTAAAAAGGGCCGTAAAACGGGATGGTTTGATATTTCAATCCAAACTCTTTTCATTTTTGGTTGTGAAATATCTTCTAAACGCAACAAGCCTTTAGAAATTAGGTAGTGAATTATCTTTTTGTTTAGGACAATTAATTTCCACATGTAGAAATGAAAAGAATCAGTTTTCAAAAACAAAAATATCCAATTAATACTTGACAAAGCTTTGCAGGGCAACGTTGTAAATCATACATGGCACTCTGTCAATTCTGTCTGCAAGTGTCGTTTTCAGAAGTTTAAACAAAAAGTTAACAGTTCCCATTAGGAATAGAAAAATACGTTATATAACTGCGTCAAAAAATGTTTCCTGTTGATTTACATTACTGTGACATTTCTTAGATACTTCGCGAAAACTTGGTAAAAAAATAAAATCCCAATAATACTTTGGGAAACATTTCTGATACATATTCTACATTTATATAATTTAGACTGTTATGTCTATCTTTAAGTATCCAGTTGTGGTAACTCACACAGCCCCCAGTGAACTGAAGGTTTAAGGACGGGTAAAATTAAAAATCTTTGCTTTGAAAAAAATGCCCATTTTTAAATGTAAGAAATCTATCAATGTTTTCGTAAAAATCCGCAAAATTATGAGTTAACAATGAAGAAGAAAAAATGGCCGCCCGAAAAACAACGTTAAAGTCTAAAATTATTGCTTCGAAAGGGGTGCGAAGCGCCCTGGAAACCTGTCGGGAAATCTCAGGTTCAAATCTGTGAAAAATCTTTGGATTCTCATGAACACAATTTCTCTTTAAAGTAAGGATAGATGCATATATTTCAAATATTTTCGGTTACATTAAAAAAAATCGCAATTATCACAGAAATTTTCAGTTCTTGTACGTTATTTTTATAATGAAATTTAGGACCCAAAAAGCAGGAATAATAAATCCAAGATGAAAAAATATTTCGTCTTTGGCGGACATACACTAAAAATTTAATTGAACTTTTAAAAAATTGGTCCTGAACAGTGAATATGTCTTAAGTCTACACAATTTGAAAAGGAAGAGCAGACTACACATTAAGCGCGTTACATGCTCCTTAGGCGCGCTTCATGCTCCTCAAGCGCTCTCAATGCTTTTCAAATTCTCGTAAATGGAATCAATGTTCCACTCTGAATGATGAAGCATCTCGTGACCGTTGTGGACGATGAGTACGTTCATACGAGGATTGTAGGCCAGCCCGGTCAGTAGCTTAGGGGTCAACAGGAAATACTAAACACATGATGATAAATAAAGGACAACATTATCCCCCGGTACATCATGTACCTGGGCAAGAGTTGAGGCGGATTATTATGAGATTAAAGCGGAATTTTTATTTTTTAACTTTCCACAATATTTTTTAGGAAATCCGATTTTTTTTATAATGAACAAAGAGAACATGTTCACAATTGAAATAGAAGATGGGCACAGCCTAGTGTTTTGAAATAATAACAATCTTACATAGGGGTGTATATTTTTATGAATTACCTCAGATGACATGGCAAAAAAAATTAAAAACTGAACATCAACAGGTCTGGGTTTCATTCTTTTTGATACTTACCCCCCCTAACATTTTTTACCTCCCAAGCCAACGAAAAAAAACTCCAAAAATGCGCAAACTTATGAAACGAGGAATGATTTTTCAAGAAACTAACCCCCTGCAATGTTATGAATTATGTTGTTAAACGAGGATTCAGTTTTTGAATATTTGTAAATTCTGGAATAAAATATGAGAATGTTAATATGATGTTTAATCTGTAGCAATGTGTACACTCAATATTTATAATTTAACATGTGTAGTTATTAAATATCAAGGCTCTGAAAATATATGTAAATCCCTAATTCAAAACAAATTAAATAGAAATCTATTTTGTCCAAGCTCCAGAAATACAAATACTTGGCTTATCCATATTTATGTTTCAGCATGACACAAGCTAAACAAATTTTTTATTTTGATTATTTTTTTACGGATAATTTAAGGGCCTTTGTGGTTTGATTTACAAAAGAATTCTGTATCTATAAATATTGCATTAAAGGGAGAGTTTAAACTAGATCAGAATAGAATATGATTTGATTTTATCGAATCAATCTTTTTTTTCCATATAATTCTTCTTTAATTAAAATAGGAGTGAAACTATCTTCCCTTGGACCTTCAAAATCCCAGCAATTCATTTCGAGCTAAAAACTTAAATCATTTAATCAATATAAAATGATTTCATGTTTATGATTATTTTTAAATTGTTACAATATGGTGGTCACTATCTATTATATACATCAATACATTGTCTGTTACTGAAGCGGAGATACAGTACAATTTCAATACCTGATAGTTCACTGGTATATTCAGTTATAATCAGAAAGACCCGGAATTGATTTATAATTAATCAGACGACTTTACAACCGAATTTTACAAATATGATTGATGATACGATTATCACTAAAAAGCCCTAGTCCTGCTATTTCCAAAATGTGGTCTGCCTTATTTGAGCATTTAAAATTACAAGAGATATAGTAGAGTCGCCTGACTAACTGTCAATTAATGCCGGGTCTTTCTGATTATGACTGTACACCAACCACTTTTTATTGTGTAGTATTTTAGTACCGCACCGCATGCTGTACTGAAATATATGTCAGTTTCTGTAGTCTGTATTATATCACCTTTTCAGCAAACGATTCGTATTGATATGTATGCTGACAACAGTAGTTAAAATAAGTTATTTAATGTTTAGCAAAATAATTTTAAAAAATCTTTCCATGGCAACATTTCGCCTCTTCTCAAGCAGCTTTTGTCATTTAAATTTCCAACAGATGAAAGAAAAATTGATACAGGTCGATACAAAATCTATTTCAATGTTATGTTCCCTCTTATTTTACATTTTACGCGAACACTCTCTTTAATCTGACCTGTGAGTTAGTTTCCTGACAGGAAGTCTCTACCAGCAGTTCAAACACCAACCTTTCATTCCTGGCATCCATACCCTAAACATTAGTGGTAACTTCTGAATGAAAGAAACTTTTTAAGTCGGTTTTTAATTAGTTCAGCTCATTCTCTTCTTTTCAGTAGTTTAGCTCTTAGCTTATATTTACAAAATGTTCAAAGTACGAATTCCAGTAGTTTAGCTCTTAGCTTATATTTACAAAATGTTCAAAGTACGAATTCAAAAAAATTTGAGTCCCGTCTCAAATTTAGGAGGAGGCTCAAACTTGTTTCACTTGAAATTGTATTCAGTTTTTTAGAGATTTGAGCAGGCACTCAAATGGAACCGGTTTTTGGCCTTTTTGCGACGCGGTTTCAATTCTTAAAATTCGGCCTCAGTTGGTCGTAATTTGAATATTATAAACCAACCTGGTTTATCTCGTCAACGCATCTGAATGGCACAGTAGTTAGAGCCTGTAGAGCCAGCATATATATAGCTGTAGCTACACTCCTCTCCCCTCCACTCTGATGATGTGGAGTTAGTTCCTATATAATCATCATTATAACTAGTAAAATATATATATATATATAGCTGTAGCTCTCTCCTCTTCCCACCACTCTTAGGCTAAAAAATCAATTTTTTGTTCTTCAATTTCTTCTTTTTTCCACGGGCAATGCCGGGCCCTTCAGCTAGTAGCATTTAAAAAACAAAACGATGTTCAGTAGTTTAGGGGTACCTGGAGAGGTTCAGTATCTCTATACTTGACAAGGATCTTGATTCCGTAGTTGTCGAAATCATTCTCATGACTCCCAGTGTGGAGCTGAACCCCTCCTGCAAACCCCATTATTCCGAAGAACTTGGAAAACCTAAAAACAGATTTGATTTCTAGTCATAGAATAAAAATTTTTATAAATGGAATCCAACAAAGCATGAGGCTGTAAAGACGACCCATATCTTTATGATGATTTAAAGGTTTTAAAACTCTTCCTTTAAACTCTCTAATCTCCTATAATCTGATATTAATCTAACCTTGAGTTAATATTCCCAACTAGATTGTTAAGAGAGGATAAACCACTCTTCCTTTAAACCCTCTAATCTTCTATACTATTAATCTAACCTTGAGTTAATATTCCCAACTAGATTGTTGAGAGAGGATAAACCACTCTTCCTTTAAACCCTCTCCTCTAATCTTCTATACTATTAATCTAACCTTGAATTAAAATTCCCAACTAGATTGTTTAATGAGGATAAACCACTCTTCCTTTAAACTCTCTAATCTCCTATACTATTAATCTAACCTTGAGTTAATATTCCCAACTAGATTGTTTAATGAGGATAAACCACTCTTCCTTTAAACTCTCTAATCTCCTATACTCTGGTATTAATCTAACCTTGTGTTAATATTCCCAACTAGATTGTTAAGAGAAGATAAACCACTCTTCCTTTAAACTCTCTAATCTCCTATAATCTGATATTAATCTAACCTTGTGTTAATATTCCCAACTAGATTGTTGAGAGAGGATAACCACTCCTCTTTGACGCTTTCTAATCTCTTGCTTTGGTTCTGTTTCTCCTTCCCTCTCCTAACCAAAAATTTACCATATCTTTTCACTGTTAAAAATATTTATGTGATTTTCTTTTCAGTTTTAGATGCCAAATTCACATAACTACCCTAAAAACTTTTTAAAAAGAAAATATGATCCCGATGTTTTTGCTTTCCTATTTAAAAATTAATAATTTGCAATTTCGGTTTTTCTATAAAGGTATATGCGGATTTGCACAGCAGAAAATCAATGAAATAAGCGGAAATCTAATTTATTCAAAACAGGAAAACGACGATATCGTCCTCATCGTTATTCAGATAAAGGTTTAGAGGGCAATGTTGTGAATCAGACCTTTTAAAGGAAGGTTACTTAAATTTCGTCGACCATACATTGAAAAAAAACACGAGGATATTCTAAAAATCTGAATTTTGAAATTTGAAAAATTCTACATTTAACTTTTTCAAGAATGAACAAATGATATGATATGATTATATTCCTTTTGACATCTGTTTCAAGTTCCTGAATCTGTTCTTTCAACTCTCTGTACTTCTCTAGTACAGACCTAAACAGATATAAGTACAATTGTAGTTCCTCTGTTCTTATCTAGTACAGACTAAACAGATATATGTACAATAATCTTTAGTTGTCATGTACTTATCTAGTACTGTCCAAAACAGATAAAAGTACAGTAATTCATATTTACCCTGTGTACTTATCTAGTACAGATCAAAACAGATACAAGTACAGTAATTCATAGTTTCCCTGTGTACTTATCTAGTACTGTCCTAAACAGATACAAGTACAGTAATTCATAGTTGTCATGTACTTATCTAGTACAGTCCTAAACATATATAGTACAATAATTCATAGTTACCCTGTGTACTTATCTAGTACAGTCCTAAACAGATAAAAGTACAATATTTCATAGTTACCTTGTGTACTTATCTACTACAGTCCTAAACATATAAAGTACAATAATTCATAGTTACCCTGTGTACTTATCCAGTACTGTCCTAAACAGATAAAAGTACAATATTTCATAGTTACCCTGTGTACTTATCTAGTACAGTCCTAAACATATATAGTACACTAATTCATAGTTACTCTATACTTATCTAGTACTGTCCTAAACAGATAAAAGAACAATATTTCATAGTTACCCTGTGTACTTATCTAGTACAGTCCTAATCATATATAGTACAATAATTCATAGTTACCCTGTGTACTTATCTAGTACTGTCCTAAACAGATAAAAGTACAATATTTCATAGTTACCCTGTGTACTTATCTAGTACAGTCCTAATCATATATAGTACAATATTTCATAGTTACTCTGTGTACTTATCTAGTACTGTCCTAAACAGATAAAAGTACAATATTTCATAGTTACCCTGTGTACTTATCTAGTACAGTCCTAATCATATATAGTACAATATTTCATAGTTACTCTGTGTACTTATCTAGTACAGTCCTAAACAGATAAAAGTACAATATTTCATAGTTACCCTGTGTACTTATCTACTACAGTCCTAAACAGATAAAAGTACACTAATTCATAGTTCCACTGTACTTATCTAGTACAGACCTAAACAGATAAAAGTACACAAATTCATAGTTCCACTGTACTTATCTAGTACTGTCCTAAACAGATAAAAGTAGACTAATTCATAGTTCCACTGTACTTATCTAGTACAGACCTAAACAGATAAAAGTACACTATTTCATAGTTCCACAGTACTTATCTAGTACAGACCTAAGCAGATAAAAGTACACGGTTCTGGCATAAAGAACTAAATTTACATTAACAGGGTGGCCAAAACTTTTTTGAAAAAATCCGTACATTTTCAGAAGAAATCCGTACAATTTTCGAAAAAAAATCCGTACAATCCGTACATTTTTTGGAAAAATCCGTACATTTTTTTAAAATCCGTACAATCAGTACAATTTTCGAAAAAAATCCCTGCAATCCGTACATTTAAGAAAAATAAAACCATTTTTGAAAATATTATTCAACACTGTCTCACCCCCATCTCA